CCTTAAAATATCCCCCACCCCAATCCCCTGGCGCCAACCGTCCCCTAGCAACTCCCATGTTATCAGATAAACGGCATGTCTTAACAAAACACAGAGCATGTCCCAACAAACACAGGGCATGTCCCAGCAAGCAATCTTAACAGACAAAGGGCATGTCTCAATCCCCAGGTGCAATGTTTCCTGAGGGTGAGGGGGCCATCTGGTTTCCTTAGATCACCTTGATCACTGTATGAATTGTGATGGACTCACAATTAAAACAATGGGTACTGGTTATGGACCTTGAGGCAAAACAGTAGGTACCAGAAGGGACTGGTTTTCGTTTGGAAGATCAGTCAAAGATGAAATGAGCATGTCCAAGGATGGAGTTCAACCAGCACACACAGTGAGGAAGACTATTGACGTTCACCAGAGGACCCCCGTCCAACATAACCACGCGTGGGCTGGAGACATTAGCATATGATAATGATTTCCAGGAAATAACATGAATATGCTAATCATTACCCTCCCCTCTTGGTATTCAAATCAATCAGAAAAGTTGCCCAATGATTTCTGGTGTACCATAACGAGATGGTATCTAACTAAACAGCTCAGAAAGTGAAAATCCAGCAGGATCTATTGTGATTTGATGTAACGTGGAAATATTTGGAAGTGGCACGGGACGTTGTGTTGAGTTTGTTGAGATTTGTTAACATCGGCACAAGAGGCACTGTGAATCAATGCACAGGCACCTCCTTGGTGCAGGGTAAGCATTGCAAGTACTAGATGATTTTGTCCCGCTATCAAAGCTAAATGAGGATTTTCCTCTTGTGAGGCTGAAGTGGCATCTGCTGTGTGATTGCTGTGGCTTCCATGGCAGCAGATAGATTTCTGAGAGCTCTTTCTAGTTTGTTTACCCTGAGTGCGGGGATTAACATTTTGACTAAACATCTCCAATCATGGGGGGTTCCTCATACAGTGGGGTGACGAGGTGGAGGGTCAGATCTACGCATGGGGCAGGGGCTGCGTTAACCCCCCCGCCTCCCGCTGCAGGAATGCCCGCTGGCAGAGGCGCTGTGAAACAATCCTCAACCCTTTAATGACTGAAGACGGAAAGAGAGAGATGGGAGGGGGCTGGGGCTGGGGCGGGCGGGTGCGGGTCGCATGTCCCAGGGGTTGTGCCCCACAGCTTCTGTGCCCAGCTGTCAGAAGCGGCTGGGGCGGTGTGGGGCACTCTGCCCCGTGGGGTACCTCAGGGCTCTGGCTCGCTTGGTGGGCACGCTGCTGCCATGGGATGCTCTCCGCTTGCTGCTGCCCACTTGCTGCCTGCTGCTGCCTGCCGCCGCGTTGTCCCTGTTGCGTTGTCACCTCCCCCATGGGCCCTGGCACCCCCTGCCAGACGCTGGCCTGTGGCAGCTGGGAGGTGACGGGGTGGAGCTGGGCGGGCTGGGAGGACACCGGCAGCCCTGGGACAGAGAGCAGCGTGCCGGCAGGGACCGGTGGTGGCATGGCCGGAACACTGAAGCTCTGAAACCCTGTCTGCCGGGGGGGTTGGAACGTGCCCCATTATGGCATCACCTCCTAACGACATCACACACGCAGGGGCCGGGACCCAGGACCAGCTGTGAGCCCCTCCACGGGCAATGGGGTCCTGGTCCCCCCGGCCCCCTCGCTCCATGGCCGCCCTCAGCCTCTGCTCAGCCACAGCCCAGGTGACACCCACCCTGTGCCTGCACCCTGCTGGGGGCTGCTCTGGGCAAAACCAGCCCTGGGATGCCCCTGCAGCTGATTAATATTATTTAGCCTGGATAGGGGGCTCCCCAGAGGGAGGCCCCAGCTGCCCTTGTAGCAGCCCACGCAGGAGGAAGCTGAGGCCCAGGCTCGCTCATGCCAGTGAGGAGGCCACAAATCCTCTGTCACTGCCGTGCCTGCGGCCAGTTTGGAGGGGGGGAAGGTGCTGCCTGGGGCCGAGGAGAGGAGAGCCCCAGGGGGGACGGGGGGCCCTAAACATCTCATCTCCACTTCAGTTGCTCTCCTCCTTCCCAAGCGGTTTGGGCAGAGCTGAGATGAAGGTGGCCATTTCCCTCGGCGCTCCGTCCCCCAGCCCTCCATCCCCAGGGCCGTTCCCAGAGCGAGGGGCAGACTGAGGGAAGGGAAAGCTTGACGTCTTTGTAAGGCACGGCCTGACTGACTCTGCCCAGGACATTTCATCCAACACAGCCCCTGCTCTGGGCACCTCCTGCCGGGAGGATGCAGGATGCCACTGTGGGCCTGAAACCCTGTTTTCTTCCCCCATCCTTCTCCTGAGCCAACAGCAATCGTAGGGTTCCTGCCCCAGAGCCCAGGGAGATGGATTTCCCCCAAAGCAGCACTACCCACTCCCCCATCACCTCCAAAAAGCCCCTTAAAAAGCTCCAAAGATGCTTCCGACTCCTCTCCCCCCCTCAAAGGACACCAGAGCGGCACAGCAAGACAAACAAGATTTTTATTGTTTTATTGTCCCATTACAGTCACTGGGCAAGAAGAGAAAAATCAGCCAGCCAGAGATGGCTCTGGGGGTAGAACCCGTCAGTCAGCAGCAACACCTCACAGATGGGGCCCATAAGACAGCAACACAAATCTATGTTATTTGAGTGCTACAGAATGAACCCCCAAATAAATAAAACACTGTAACAAACCAACAAAAAAACACAGACAAAGATTCAAAGTGATAAATAACACTGGTTTGCTTGAAGGATTTTTTCCCTCCCTCAGTTTTATTTACAACACAAAATGTTTCCAAACTAGACCTTCTGTTACAGTAAAAAAATATATTTTTCAGCATCTCCAAAATAAAGTTCCTGTATTTCTGTATGTGGCACACTGGGGGAAAAATAATAATAATAAAAAAAAAATGGGCCAGCACCTTATTTATTACTTTTGCACAGGCCTTTGGGATTCCCATGCACTTCATTTTAGGAAGCTTTTGAGAGGGGCCCCCAGGAGTTTGGGGGGAGCTGTTTTAAGGCACCAAAGTGAGGAAAACACCCAGCCCCCGTCCCGCAAGGCTGGGAAGGAGGTTGCTACCAACTAAAGCATGGCTGGTGCCTTCATGGGATTTTGTGGTTTTAGTCCTAAAGCGACACCAGGAACACCCTTGAGAGGGTTTTTCCACCCAACATGATTTTCCTCCACACAGAGAAATACTAAAGCCTCCCCAAATCAGGAGCTGGCCACAGGTTTACGGTGTATAAAGGGGCAGCCACAGCACTGGGTCTCACAGCCAGCCCAGGCCCTTACACCCATCTTTTAGACAGCCCCAAGTCACATTACCAAGCAAGACCTCATCTTTCATGTAAGTAAAAAAAAAATTAATAAATAGAGAAAAATTGCTAGCCCTGTAAATAGCAAGAACAACACTTTAAATGGAGGAGATGGCCCCGCCTGGTTTTCTTTTCCAATTGGGAACACCCAGGGCAGCTGCCACCATTTTTTCAGCTCCCCAGGCCCAGGGGAGATACAGAGCCCCACGGGGCTGGACCCAGCCCACTCTTCATTCAAACCGGCACCATTTTCCTTCCGGGGTGGGTTTCCTTCTTTCTTTCCAAGCTGGAGAGGTGCCAGGCACGTGCTGAAAACAATCCCAGTCCCTGGCCCTGGCCCCTGACAGGAGGGAGGGGAGTCCAGCCCAGCTCTCTCCTCACACGTAGAGGAAAATAAAAAGGGAAAAAACAAAATTGTCCCACAGTAGAATCCCAGTAATTCCATTTTAGGGGCAGGGCAGCAATGGCACTGGTACCACAGCCACCCAGCTCCACAGCCAGTGCAGGTCACAGCCCTGATGCTTCTACCTCCACAGGAATTCAAGCTCATACACATGGAGGCTGAACACCCCCGACCTCCCAGTGACTGGGCCGTGCACCTCCGTTTGCTGCTCTAGAGACACCGAATGCCTGCAGCACCCCAAGGACAACTGAAAACAGCTGCACGGCTTTAATGGGAATCCTCCAGCTGGAAAAAAGCCGTTTGTGTCTGCGTGGGCACAGCTTTGAGTCACATTCTCACTCCTTTCCTTCAAAGTCAAGATGCCTAACCAGGAAAACTGGGGGCAAAAAGAGAAACAGCGGGAGAGCACCATCAGTGGAAGACCTGCCGGCCGCTGTCGGCTCATCCCCGTCCGTGGGACCACCCCGGCAGAGAGGAGCTGGTTTGCGTGCCACGGTCCTTGCCGCCTGCTCCCGGGGATGGGCCCTTTGCTCGGCATCGCCACCCAAAGCACGGGCAAACGGCAGGCACACGCTGCCGCTTGCAGAGGAGCACGGTCACAGTCACAGGCAATTCCTCACCTCTTTCCTCCCCACATTCAGCGTGTTTCTGTGTCGACAGGGAGAGCCTTCCACATGACTGTTTTCGACATTCCACCCGAGACATTAACTGCAGAAGGATCGGTCCTGCAACAAATACTTTACAGAGCAACCCGGGATTATGGGCACTGGTGCCACCGAGTTCATTTCCATCAGCCAGAGGAGCAGGGAGGCCTGGAGATCCAAAGCTCAGTGTAAGCACGGGAGCTTTTGCTGGCCGGGGAGTTTGGGGAGGCAAGCCCAAGAGCTGCAGAGCAGCAGCTCCAAGCCAAGGGTCTTGCTGCTGTTTAGCCCTGGAGTGGGCTCCTGAGCCATTGCTGGTACGGATCATGCCTGCAACACCTCCTGGTTAGGCATGAGCATCTCCAGCTGCCGTCAAGTCACTGATGATGCAAGTTCTGGGGGTCAGACGTGAGCTGGGCAGCCCCTCTGCTTGGGGGCAGAGCCCTGTGATCACCTCCTGCAGCCCTGCCTGAATAGTTGATTTTCCCACCAAGCTGACTGCTGGTGTCTGCGGGATGCTCAATAAAGATGCAAGGGGAGAAAACTGTGCCAGAAGCCTTCAGACTCATCTTGCTGGGGGTCCTGGTGCTCAGTGGGGCTTTACCTGCCACTGCTTTGCTCTGGGCTATCCAAGTCACTGGTCTTCCCCAGCTTCAGCTGAACTGAATGCGCATCAACAGTTTCCGGCATCTTCTGGGACTCCTGATGTAAAAGGGACAAATCAAGTTCTCTGATCAAAGTGAAGGTAAACTCAACACCCAGCAAAAACATTGCATGCTGCCCTCTCCTTCTGCTCCTTGGCAGCTTTAGCCATTAGTGCAGCAGGGCAGAGACCTTTCACTCCAAGCATTGGCAGGGGGTGAGTTAAACACACTATTATGAGCAAACATTTCCATAATAATGATCTAAGGAAACCAGGTGGCCCCCCCACCCTCAGGAAACGTTGCCCCTGGGGATTGAGACATGCTCTTTGTCTGTTAAGATTGCTTGTTGGGACATGCCATTTGTCTGTTGGGACATGCCCCATGTTTTGTTGAGACATACCGTTTATCTGATAACGTGGGAGTTGTTAGGGGAGGGTCGACGCCGGGGCGGGGGTGGTGGGCCTTGGGGTGGGGGATATGTTAAGGGTTTCTCAGAACTAATCGTAATATTCCCTCCCTATTCCCGGAATTGTGATACAGGTGTAACATTCTATGTAACAAAAAGGAGCCGCTTTTGGCTCCAAGGCGCGTGTGCATTTGGAGGAAATGATTCCCCCATGCGCCCAGCGCTGAATAAACATAGCTACTGTATAACCTTCCTGGTTCTAAAGTCATGATTCCGCGCCTGAATAATAACAATCATCATCGTCATCATATTCATCACTGTTATAAATGACTCATTTGAAAGGTTATACCTCAATTCAAGTGTTAAGCTCCTTTCTAATTTAGGAAAAAAATGTTATGATGTGGGATCCAGGCTATTAGGATCTATTGCTACTGAGTTCTGATCTTCCCCCAACAGTTCAAGACAGGCTGTGATAGCAAGAGGCAATCTCACAGCCCGAGGGAGACGGCCAGCCTCCAGCACCCAGCGAGTGTTACCTCTTCTCCTTTGGCTTCATTTTTGGCACCGTCCAACAACTTCTTGCTTCCTGCCATATGGTCACCAGAACGCTGAGCTCTCGCTTCGAGAAGCAGAAATCCATAATTTTCCAGACAAAAACGAGAGCCAAAACCTTCACAAGTAAGAGGGAAGATGTGGTGAGGCCCAAGATGAGGCGACATCTCACTCCAGCACCACGACCGTCCCGCTGCCAAGCGGCACCGGCTCTCACCATCATGGGGGAGTTTTCAGGGTCTCAAGGGCGATGAGAAATCCTGGATCCCACTGTGCTCCTCCTGGGAGCAGCACCCCTCTTCCCTCCACCCCATCTCAAACCAGCTTGCCCACAAGAGCTGCCCTCCAAATTGCAATTATTTCACTCTATTCTAGTATTAGCCTTTCTTGCCCAGCAAGGATTTCCACCACTGGTAGAAATTGCCTTCCCTTTGCCCTGAATTCCCCCATTTTCACAGCATCAAACACCGACCTGCCCTAAACCCTGATACAGAGCGTGCTGGACTTGCCTGGTGCTCCCTGCCCTCTGCACCTCCCATGCCCCCACCCATCCACCCCTGACACTAAATATTTTCCTTGCTGGATTTCGGAGGGGATTTCTCCCATGTCACTGCTTTCCTCCTGCTGCTACAGGGATGAATCCCCCGGGAGCCCACACGCTGCACAAGAGTCCGCACCTGAATTCCTCGGAGTGACAACGCGCCCAGGTAGAGAAAGACGCCACAAAGCACAGGCACTGGTATGAACTGAAAACAAAGAATGCTAGCATTTAGTTTTTTAAACGGCATTTTCAGTATTACCCCTCTCTTCTACAGGCACTGCCCAGAATTGCCCAAAGCTTACCCGTTTCCACAGGGTTAGAGGAGTGTCAGATTTTCACCCTCAGAGATTTTGTGTGTGCGAGTGAGCGAATGCTCTACTTTAGGCTGAACCTTGGAGTGGCCTTTCATCAGAATAAGCCTCTTTTCCAGAAAGGTTGGAGGAAAACTGGTGATTTCACCTGTGCTACCATATGCTGCGCTCTGTGTCAATACAAAACCATTTCTACATGTTCTTGTGGCAACGGGCAAAAGCCACGTGCCTCCTTTTAGCCTAGAGATGAGATTCCTTTGTGCAAGGAAGCCTGTGGGGATGATGCCAGTGTGTGTAGCTACTGGGAATGGCTGTGCTGGGGCATTTGGGGGAGCAAATTGCAACCAGTAAAGTGCTGCTTGCTCAAAAGAGAGCAGATGTACTGGTCTGATTACGCTTAACTGTAACCCATAAACACAGGTGGGCCTGAAAGACGCCTGAAAATTAAAGCAGTTGCATTGCTCGCTTGCCTCGAGCACATCAAACCGTGGTCTGAAGGGCTGGAAAGTTACCCAAGGCTGGTTCCACCGGGGGTCAAGCCCCAAGGTTTAGCATCGCCTCCTCCTCCACTCCACAACCACTCGGGCCTGGAGAGAGGGGACCCCTTTTGTATAACCTCCCAAACCCTCCTGGTTGTTGGGTGTCTTGCAATTCCCTCTCACCACCTTTAACACAGATGTGAAGAAGACAGTGCAGCCCACGAGCACAGGGATCATCAAGGCAGTGACCCTCTGCTCTCACATCCCCAGGAACTTGGGTTGTTCTCCAGGAGCTGAGCAGTCAGACTCTACTTGGAGGCTGTTCCCATGGGTGATGGACAGGACGGTCGCAGCCACAAACCAGGGCAGCCCCAACACGGAGCACATCCCGAGCATCACGGCCACCAGGAAAAGGTCCAGGTGGTATCTGCACCCTTTCTGCAGGGAGCAAAGCAAGAAACAGCATCCCACAGCACAGGAGCAAGGACAGCATCGCAAGTCAGACTCCAACCCTACTTGAGCACAAGTCAACTGCTGGAAAATTTAAAACAAGAATTGGAAATAGGCAGGAATGTATCTGTGCTTTGCACAAGCACCTTGCATCAAAATCTGCCAGGAGTTCAGACAAAGTGCATTTGGAGAGACCGTTTTTTTCATTCATAAAGAAATTCCAACCATTTGCAAGCAAGATGCGACTCTGGGTTATCCTTGGCAGCACATCAGAACAATTTGTTCCCCCAGCCACTGCCGACATTCAAAACCAAAACGTTTTTTGTTATTATAATAGCATCCTCCAGGATGGGGCGTGATGCAAATGCACGTGGTCGCTTTGGGGTGTGAACAAGGGGTGGGCTGTTTGGAGAGCTGCGGGCAGCTGGGACAGCAAATCCTCCTCCTCACTACTACAGAGACAGGGAGAAGTGAAGAAAGCCAAAAATGACCTGGAGAGTTCTCTTATCTCGTCACACCTCACCTGTCAGGATAGTAGCCATGCACCTGCATATCTCAAGGTACTGCTGGGGTTTACCTTCTGGTCCAAGAAAAAAACCCAGGAAGCTGGGGAAAGAAAGAAAAAAAAAAAATGGGAGAGGAGAACATGCCCTTGCTCAAAGGACAACCAAGGGGATCCCCAGGAGCTACCAGCCCAGAGTACGGCTCGAGAGGGGACTCACAGGCTCACCGACTCTGCGGTGAATTTGAAATTCATCAAAACCAACCACAAATTGAATTTTTGGGCCAACTTTCATTAAATTTGGCCAATGGGTTTAAAAGATACAGCAGGGAAGGGAGAAATGACAGAGAGGAGATGCGAGAGGGAGAAATGTGCTTGGTCCCACTGGCCACGTTCCCTTGGGACACCAAACTGATGCATGCAATTTAATGTGGTTTTGTTTTTTTTAATAAAAAAAACTTTGTGCTTCTCATTCAGACCTTACTGGGATGGGAACTTCCATCATGCCCGAGAGGAGGACAGCTGGGGTCAGGCGGACAAATGCCATGACGGGCTGCTGGAGAAAATCCATCTCTCCTACACGCATGTCGGACCCTTCAGCCCTGGTGGGAATTTTCTTCATGAAGTGCAGCTCCACTTGGGCACAACAAGTGATTTTCAGGCAATTACCCCAAGTGCAAAGACCACAAGACTCTGCAGCCAAGTTTGCAGGAGCAAATCTGGCCCTAAATGCCAGAAAGCTCCGAGTGTCTCCCCCTGCTTAAATCCATTGCGCTGGTCTCATGGTTCACCCCATGTTTAGCTTCTGCAGTTGTGGCAGGAGGGTGAGGGGGGAGCGTTTGGGCTGGTGGGAAAAAGGAAGACACTCAGAAAGATGGAGAAAGAGCAACTGGGATGCTTCTCCTTTGCCAGGAACCCTCCCCTGGGCCCAAAGCCCTGCAGGAACCCTCCCCTGCCTTGGTGGGGGGGTGCAGCTCTGTCTGTCTCTCCCTCCCATCACCAAACAAGTGGGCAATGGGGACAAGGTTGTTTCTTTCCTTCTCCTTCTATGGCGATGCTTCTGCAAAAAGACTTCTCGAACTTTCACCCTCGGCATGCCCTCGGCAAACTCCGTGGACTGTTCCTGCCGGGCCAGGATCATATCTGGGGATGGCAAAGGGAAATGAAGCCATCGCAGCAGAAAGCCCCTCCGAGTCCTGACCCCCGGAGCCCCCGGGCAAGGCTGTGCCACGCAGGACACCCCAACGCAGGCTCAGCCTTGCTTAGCAAGACGTTTTATCACAATTCAGCCTGTGCATGGAAAACAAGAACTTTCTTTTGCTAATAAACAGCATCAAAGTACATGTTCATCGCTCTGCTAAGGTAATTATTTCCCATTCTAAATAATGCAATTTTCTTGCTGGATCTGGCCTTTCGGTCTGACTCTACACATTTAACCAAACTGGAAGCAATCTATAGCAGAGACTTTCCCAGAGTTTCCTTGCCCGAGCAACTGCAATTTGACGGCGCCCATGGTACCTGCAATCTCTTTGATGCTGTTGGCACAAATGGCCAGCAGCACTGTGCCGCAGAGGATGCAGCTCCTCAGCTCAAAGAGGCTGTGCAAGGGCAGCGTGACATCTTCCACGTCCTCCGCAAACTTCAGCCACCTGTGGACAGCAGGCACCATCAGCCCCACGGCAAGAAAACAGCCCCACCTCTGTAGCCCCTTGGGTAGAGCTGTGGGGTGGCAAGAGGAGAAGGCTCCTCGCAGCAGCACCTGCAGCTGCAAAAGCCTCACCTGCCGGGGAGCAGACAGCAGAGCCCGCGGGCGGTCGCCACCGGGACTCCTCTCCTACCGCAGCCGGCAGCAGAGATTTACCTTGCCCTTCCCTTCCACATGGCATCTTCGCCCTCTCTCACGCAGATCTCACCCAGCTCGGTGAACAAGCCTTGGGGGACATGCTGCTCGTCCTCCTCGGTCCCGAGGATGAACTGCACCCGCTGGGACGGGGTGTCTGGGGGCAGAAGACAAAGCCCGGGCCCGTTACCGCGCTTGAATCCGGCCCGACATGCTCACATGCAGAGTGGGCATCAGCTCGGTACCAGTTCAGCCATAAATATCGGGCTGGCCCCTCTCCCCAATTTGCTCAGAGCCACGGAGAATGAGAAGCATCAATTCCACCTCTGCACAAAGATGGGCAGCTTTCGTGCCCCACATTTCCATTTTTAGAGCCAGGATCTCTCGGAAAAAGGCAAACCTAAATCCACTATCCATTTAAGTGCCATAAAGGAAAAAAAAAAAGAAACTGGGAAAAGTCTGGAAAAAGGGACTCCACCCAGTAGTGGCAAATCCATATATATTACTGATAGCCCTTAAAGAAACATATCAGTAGTTTACAGTGCTTGATTTGAAAGATGCTTTCTTTTGCATACCCCTGGAACAGGAAAGTTGTAAACTGTTTTTGAGTGGGAGAGCCCAAAACCAGGGCGTAAAGTCCAACTAACACGGACACGACTACCCCAAGGATTTAAGAACAGGCAGCAGTCTTTGGTAGCCAGCTAGCAAAGGAACTGTAAATCTGGTCAAAGGAAAAAGACGGTGACATTTTAACTGCTACTGAAGAAAAGTCAACCTGTATACGGGTAACCACTGAACTTTTAAACTTTTGGGGACTTAATGAATAGAAGGTGTCTAAGAAGAAAGCCTAAATAGCAAGCCAAACTGTAATATATTTAGGCTTTGAGATTTCAAAGGGACAGAGGAAGTTGGGGACTGACCAAAAGGAAACAATCGGTGCCATTCCTGAATCCCGAACTGTGCAGGAATTAAGAGCATTTCTGGGAATGGCTGGGTGGTTCCATCTCTGGATTATGAATTATGGCCTGATAGCCAAACCATTATATGAGGCCCAGAGGTCTGTTCCTTTCATGTAGGGCCGACAACAAGAAAAGGCCTTTCAAAAACTTAAACAAGCTCTAATGTCAGCACCAGCTTTAGAATTACCTGATTTAACTAAAGATTTCCAGTTGTTTGTCCATGAATGACAGCACCTTGCCCTGGGAGCCCTGACCCAGAGGATGGAAGCTGGAAGAAACCTGTGGGGAACTTTTCTAAAGAACTGGACACGGTGAGTGAAGGATGGCCCTCCTGCCGGTGGGCAGTAGCGGCAACAGGAATACTAATACAAGAAGCCAGAAAGCTCACCTTGGGAAGAATCGTCATGGTTTATGTTCCACATATGGCTGTTACAGTGCTGGAACAAAAAGGGGGGTATTGGTTATCCCCAGCAGAATGATGAAAAATCAGGTAATCCTTACAGAACAAGATGATGTGGTCCTAAAAACAACTAACCTTGTAAATCCTGCAGCTTCCCTAAGTGCTTCACAGGAGGAAGAAGGACCCGAGCATGACTGCATAACGACTATTGAGCACGTGTATTCCAGCCGAGAAAACATGAAGGATGTCCCTCTTGAAAA